TTGTGCCTCTTTCCTGGTGTTTGCAGCTTGGGTCCAAGATCTGGCCGACAGAAATCCTGCTGGGAACTCCTTCAGGCCTGTACTTTGCCAAGTGAACTACAGGCACATGTGTAACGAGGAGCCTGGCTAGTCTGCTCATGTTAAGAACGGCTGAATTCCTTCTGAGAGTTTTGCAGCAAGTGTGCCCTTTGTATTGTTTGAGCACCCAGAAAGGTATGAGGAATGTTTGTAGGAAACTGATGTGTAACTCTATGAGGGATCAAGGGTGTTATGTTGTGGCATTAATATCCTGTATTATTTTCTTTGGGTTCTTTCCCACGTCTGGTCGATGGGACAAGTTGGGTTGGGTTGGTTTTGGTTTGTGAGGAGGGGGGGGGGGGGAGGAAAGTGTCTGTGTTCTTCCTGACATGAAGCAGCAACTTAAAGAATACAAATTGGGCAAGGGCGTGCCTATGTATGTATGTATACCTGAGAGGTGTGTGTGGGGGGTGCTTTATTTCCAGCAATAAAAATTAATTATATAGTTGGCATGAATAGCTGTGAGGATAACCATAGTGCGTCAGACAGCCAGTTATGCGTGTATTAAAGGTTAATGCTGTTTGTTCTCAGTGCATTAAATCTTTGTAAAGCATGTGCTGACATGCATCCCATTCTGGTATCTGTTCACACACTCCAGTAATGATGCGTGGAGCAGGAACTCGTGCCTTTGCCATTCGGTGCTATTTAGTAAACTGAACTTCTGTATAAAGGTCTTAGAAAATGGCAAGGCAGAAAATGATTATCTTGCTGCTAATTTGACTTTCCACTGCATGCTGCTTTTCTGGAGATGAAAGGATTCTGAATCTATTCACTACTGAAAGTTATTTCAACTTTCATGGCGCATCAGGATGCGGGAAGGCAAGTTCATGTTCACAGTTGTTCTTCAGGTCTCTCTGCTGGAAATAGAACCTAAGCCATTAGATTTCTGCTTAAAATAACTAAAAATAATGAAATGAAACAATTAGCTGGTGAATTCTCATTAAATGCTAAATACCTAAGTAAATAGTGCAGCTAAGTAATTGACTGCATATGTAAACTAGCTGTAATTGACATGACCTTCATTTAACAAGCCTCCTTCCCATTAGTGGGGACTGCTGCCACAATTATGTGCCTTTATTCTAGCTATAATTGTATGGACTTTATTGAAATACAAACTAGGTCATGTCTTTCTGAGATCTGGTCCGTGGTGGGTGACCTGTTTTCATGGCTTCAGCTTTGTTGCTGCGTTAGAGGAGGAAGGATGCTCTCACAGCCATGAGAATGGATAGCATTTAAGGAACTGGTCTCCAGCCTCATTTCTGACAGGCATCTTGTGTGACCCGAGGAAGCTGTTCAACGCTGAGTCTCAAGGCAGCTAGCATGCACCTATTTAAATAGATGTTCAGCAGGAGCACGCTTGGAAAATGGGAAAGTATGGATTTTGTCCTGTGTTCCAAGCCCTTTCCGCTTCCACGCAGGTGATGTGGTCCCTGCCTTGTGACTGGAGGGGTGCATGTGATCTGTCAGTGTTTGGAGTTTGTAAGGCACCTACTGCAGCAAGACAGACAGTACCTTTAATCTTTGCAATACAACAAGCATTTGATAGTTGGGGAGTAGAAGAAAAAGGACTGGAAGATGCTGTCCAATTTGTGTCCAGTGCTGCGCAGGGATATTAGTCCTGCTCACTAAGTGAGAGCTGAAATCATGCACACCCGTGAGTCTGTTCATCAGTAGCTCGAAGGCTGTTTCTATCCACAAAATGAGGTTTGTCTTAATCTGCTGTGGTATCTTAAACTACCAGATTCTGAGCAACTTCTCATAGAAATTATAGCCTTTAGAATGAAGATGCTTCCTAGAAGTTTAATTATTTTACTCAGTATTTTGAGTGGAAAACCTGAGGGCCATGTATATTGCTCTAGTCGTTGTGAAGGTAAAGGAGAATATTCTCATGTCCTGCTTGTGCTGTTCAGTTTAGTCTGCAACTCTTACACAAAGATGTAGCTGTGTGCTTGCTTGCTAATGGTATTCTACGTGTCTGCACTGCTAAGCCATGCTTTGACATACTTCTCTATTGATATAAGTGGGAGGGAAAGGGGTGGCTTTTCAGGTGGTCACATTTTCTTGTGAATAACGTCTGTCATAAAGTTGTTGGCTTTCAGAGACTAGTTGTGTTTTTTCATAGTACCTATCATAGTGACAGGCAGATATCAGATGGGATGTAAATTGATCAAGCTTGACAGCAGTTTCCCTCCTAAATGGAGGGCAAAACCAATTAAGAAAGGATTAATTTGATGTCTGAGATAAAATGCTGCTAGATCTGGTGACCAGCCAGCAAGTTGGAGGACACTGAGCCTCCTGACAGAGCTTCTCTGCACCTCTCTGCTGCTCATATATTGTCTGCCTTTTAAGTTTTCCTCTCAAATGAAGTTCTGCTGTTGTAGTCACTCTGGATCCTATCAAGTCCATTGCTATCATAAATAAACAGTTCAATGATAATAGGGAAGGATGTGTCCTGTTCCAGGAATCGCTGTATCCTTGGCTTCACTTAGCAAATCCTCAGTCTCCAACGGTCAAGCTTCACTGATGGATGCAAGCTCCTGTTTGTTCTGTGCTTGCCTCGGTCCCGCCTGTGTTGTGTCCTGCCGCTGTCATGTTGGGCGGCCCTCTGGCTGCTGTGTGCTCAGACAGAATCCGTCCACTAGAGTCTAGATATTGGCTGGGACCTTTGGGCACCACTCTAATAAAAATAATGATGCCTTGATTAGGAGCCGCCTGCTCTGTGTTATGTTCAGTGCTTTGGTGGTCAGAGGACGCAAAACGGCTTTTGATTTTCCTTTCACATGAAAGAATTCTGAGAATTCTCAGAAGAGGGAATGTATGATTCTTGTTCCCACTGGCTCTGTCCTTTTATGCTAGCTAAACCGCTCTGTCTCCCTCCTGTCATGCCTCTCCACATTTGACCAAGGAAGACTGATAGTCTTTTTCATTGTGTGGTAAATCATCTCTAGTGTCTGTTTCTTCCCTTTGAGGAAGAAATCTGATACTGCTCCCTGTAAAATGTGTTTTTAAAATCCCAGGATGAAAAATATGCAAAATATTAATGTTCTGCATGGTTAGAGCAAACACTGTGTTCCTGTGAGTCACAGATGTCAGGTTTGTTTAATCTTAATAAATCTATGCCACAGTAACACTTCTAAACAGGAAAAGAGATGGAGGCAAGAAAGTGAAGTTGTGCTGGAAAGGAGGTGATTCTTAGCCAGAATTTGGCTTAGTAGCTGAGGGGATGGCATGGGCACAAAAAATGTTGGTTTTCATTCCCTGCACCCCCCAGCACTTCATTAAGTAGACTTTGAGACCCTCGTGTCAGGCACTGCCTTTCTAGTACATATTTCATTTTCTTTGTGCATTTTGTGATTGATTGTCTTTCCACATTGGAGTCTTATGAGTACTAGTTTCCCATAGCATATTTGCAGGAGATGAAGTAAGGCTTTTTACATAGCACCCTGTTGGCAAACAGAAATAGCATTTACTCCAGTGAGTGCTGCCAAGTATGAGGTACTTCCGAGTGAACTTCAAAAGCTACGAAATAAGCATTAGCTGCTGCTTCAAAAATGTGAACAATGCCATTGCTTTCTAGCAAGCAGAACTGGTGAGAGAGCAGATAGGAGGGAAATACAGCAATTGGACACATGATAGATGTTGTAGTAGCACTTGGGATCAGACTAAGTATAGCTCTGTGTCACAGCAGGATTTGGGGGGCTCTCGTTGTGATCGTATCCTACCTATGCACTCTGTTCTTCAGGAAGAAACAATTTCTACCATGAAAAACACATGGAGGCTTAGCAAAACACGTGAGTAGCTGCAGTTGTGCAAGCCCAAACTGTTTGGAGTGCTGGTAGGAATTAGTTTTGCTAATCCCAAAGCTGGTGAGGAGTTTTCTTGCCAACGCTGTTAGCTGGTGCTGTCCCTGTGTGCTCAGTGAGGAAAGAGCCAAGCCAACTGATAAGCCTGAAGGCATGGCCCCTAACATGATCCAGAACTGGAGGCAGAATGTGCGAGAAACAAGGCAAGCTGTTCTTTGTTCAGGTATGGCGGTGTGGTGTGGCCTGGCCATGCTGTTAGTTTGCATGGGGAGCCCTGGGCTTAAAATGTGTGCTTTGCCCACTTGAGATTAGCTGCTGTGGGGCTCTGGGGAAACGCAGCACAGCGCTCCTGGCGCTGTCATTTCGGTATAGCGAGCACTTTATCACTGCTGTAATCCAGTATGTCCTTCCCCTGGCATTCACATGATGCAAGCAATCTTTCCAGCTCCAATTTAGTAGGGTTACAAGCGCGCAGTCCTGCATCATTTTCTTGTTCTATATTTGTGTACGTACCTTCTACTTCTAGTTGAGGGATTGACCTGGTGAGACCTCTGAGGTGCATGGCCTCTTCCTGTGCTTTCAGGATTGCTTTTAAAATACAGATGCAATTTATCCTGGTGCCGTTCTGTTTCTTTTGGATTTGACTATTTTTGGCATAGGTAGATCTTTAACTAAATAATATTAAAAAAAAAAAAAATCAAATATTTGGCTTTCCACTTCCTTGCCTTCCACACTTGTGAAGCTGCCTTTTAATGCTGAAATGCTATGTTGCTAAATAGCAGTTCTGCTCTTGTTGTTACTTGAAATAGGTGTAATAGTTCAGTAAATAAGGAGTTTGTGTAGTATCTGATCTAGTACTTATCACAGCAAGACATTGGCACATATGAACTGACTCACTATTATCAGTGTTGCCCAAGTTTTCGCTTATGATTTATCTGGAAATCTAAATTGAAGAAACACCTTTGTACCAGAGTATGCTCCTCCACTGGTATTGAGTTGCAACTGCACGCATGCAGTGTATCTCTGCAGGAAAAGCATGATGTCTTGTGACAGTTTAGGTGAATTTTGATAGCTTTGTTCCTCTGAGGTTAATTTTCTTCTTGTTTTTGTCCTTAACAGTTCCACCAAGTTAGAAGAGTGATGACCATCCTTTTCCTTACTATGGTTATCTCATACTTCAGTTGCATGAAAGCTGCCCCGATGAAAGAAGCTAGTGTAAGAGGACAAGGCAGCTTGGCTTACCCAGGTCTTCGGACCCACGGGACACTTGAAAGCCTAAATGGGCCCAACGCTGGTTCAAGAGGACTGACGTCGCTGGCGGACACTTTTGAGCACGTGATAGAGGAGCTTCTAGATGAGGATCAGGACATCCAGCCCAGCGAGGAAAACAAGGATGCGGACTTGTACACATCCCGAGTCATGCTGAGCAGCCAAGTGCCTTTGGAACCCCCGCTGCTTTTTCTGCTTGAGGAGTACAAAAACTACCTGGATGCTGCAAACATGTCCATGAGAGTCCGGCGTCACTCTGACCCAGCTCGCCGTGGGGAACTGAGCGTCTGCGACAGCACGAGCGAGTGGGTAACGGCGGCGGAGAAAAAGACTGCAGTGGACATGTCTGGTGCGACCGTCACAGTCCTTGAGAAAGTCCCGGTGCCGAAAGGCCAACTGAAGCAATACTTCTATGAGACCAAATGCAACCCCAAGGGGTACACAAAGGAAGGCTGCAGGGGCATAGACAAGAGGCACTGGAACTCGCAGTGCCGAACTACCCAGTCTTACGTGAGAGCTCTCACCATGGATAACAAAAAGAGAGTTGGCTGGCGGTTTATAAGAATAGACACTTCCTGTGTATGTACATTGACCATTAAAAGGGGAAGATAGTGGGCTCGTGTTGTACAGATTATATTGAGACGAAATTATCTATTTGTATATATACATAACAGGGTAAATTATTCAGTAAAAAATAATTTTATGGACTGCATGTATAACTGAAGTTTATACAGTACAGTGATTCCACAATCTATTTATTGAACGTATCCATGACCTGAAAGGGAACAAAAGTCAAAGTCATTTGCGCACAAATTAAAAACAAAACAAAAAAAAAAAAGGAAAAAAGAGGAGAAAAAAAAAAAGAAAAAAAGCAAACAAACTAAAAAGTCTGCATTACATTCCTCGATAACGTTGTGGTTTGTCGCCGTTGCCAAGAATTGAAAACAGAAAAAGATTTAAAAAAAAAAAAAAAATTGAAATTGCATGCTGCTTCAATTGTGAATTGATGATAAACTGTCCTCTTTCAGAAAAATAAATTGAACCAAAACATTCCGTTTACATTTTAGACAGTAAGTATCTTTATTCCTGTTAGTACTATATCTGTTTACTGCTTTTACCTTCTGATAGCGTTGGAATTAAAACAATGTCAAGGTGCTGTTGTCATAGTTTTACTGTTTCTCTTTTTTTTGAATTCCCATCAGATTTGGGAAAAAGAACAACAACAACAAGGAAAACCACATTACCTTATTCTGGATTAAAGACAAATTTGTTTCTTGTATGTTGTGAAGGTGTTTGCAATAGCAATCCGACTACTACTGATAAAAATAAATAAATAAAAAGAGGCAACTGAAAAAGAATGGTGATGTTCCACTTCACATTGTTGAACTTCAGGCTTCAAGGCAGCGCTCAGTTAACTGTCTGTCAACATGCTTTGCTGGGTTATTTTTTTAGTAAGTCATTGTCTTTTGAGACTTGCCTTTCTTTATACCATATTTGTTTGTGTTTGGGGTCCCCTCCCCTTTTCTCTCTCCAAGAAGGTTGACTGTGAGCTTCAGAATATTTCACTCTGCATACAGCTGGAGCTTGTCACGTAGAAAATGCTCTATGGAGCGTTGAGAGCAGTGATAACAGTGTAATATGACTGTGCTTGGATCTAACATCATAGTGAAGCCTGGCAGTGGTGTCAATGCAATAGGGTCTGAAACCCTCCCTGGTGAATCGAAGGTCAGCAGCACTGGAGAGCTTGGTCAGTTCAGAGGAAGGTTTGACTGAGGCTGTCCGGGTTGTAGTTGGGACTGAACTTGGTCCTGTGCATCTCCTCCTGGAGGGGAAGCTGTGCCCTGCACACGTGGTGCACACAGCCTTTGTGCTCCAGTGTGAGAGCCAGGGGTGGAGGCAGCCAGCGCTTAATGTGCACGTCTGCTACTGTCAGCCTGCGTGAAACAAGAACTGGCGTTAAAAGGAAGTGAAGAGCAAGGGCTGGAGTAGCTGGCTTAACATCTGCTTAGGTTCTGACCTGCTTACTAGGCCCCGTGCTGCCGCTCTAATGAGCTAGACAGAAGCAGTTCCAAAAAGGCAGGTTGTGAGCTTCAGAGCTGGGCGTAGCGCTTCATCTGGATACGGTGGGTGGAGAGGCAGACATAGCTCATTAGTGAGCTCACTAGAGGTGCTGTATTTGTAAATCCTCTAGGCAAAGTAGCTGGAGCAAAGAGGGGAATGCTGGAAGATGTAACTATTGAGAAATCTGCATAGTGAAAATTAATTAAAAGCTGGGCACAGCTGATTTGAAATACCGTCCCCTGTGAAGAATATATTTCACGCAGAACTGATACTGCTAGTAGAAACCCTGTCTGCTAGCTTCTGTGAGCTGGCATAGACGCCTTCAGAGTAAGTGGTTTCTTCTTAGGGTAAAAGGGCTCCCCTTTGCTAGGAATGTCAAAGTGGAGTCATCCTCACTGTAAAAATAATTTCATATTTTGTATTGGCTGCATGTTTGCCGGGCTGTGAACAAGAAGAGAACATTATGTGACCGACTTGAGCTCCAAACTTGAGGCATTCCCACCTAAAAACCAGAAACTAAGGAAATCTTACTGAAATGTCCCAAGCTTCAGCTGTTCCTTATGCAAACTGGACACTTGTGGTGAGGGAAAAAATTATTTTTTCTGTAGCCAGGATGTTTATGCATATTATAATCCATGGCATTTAGTAACCTGAACATCTCTTGGGTGCTGTTGTTCTCAGCCGTGTTTCTAAACTGCTGCAGGGAGATGGGGCAGCGGTAGCCCAACTCACAAGTGTGTTTGGTGGCAGTAATGAGTGAGCAACATCATCTAGAGCATAGAAAAAAATGGTAGCTAGGACGTAATGGTAATCTAAGGTATCAAAACAAAATAATTCCTTGGTCAAACAAACTGAATTTCCAAACGAAGTGTTAGCGCATAAACTACGCTAGAAATAAAGCTCCTCATCTCTCACAGTTAATTATGGGTACAGCTTCAGTTCAGTCGTTCTGACCTGGGATGGTCACAGCTGTACTTGTCACAGTGAGAACGGTTGGATGGCAGGTCTGAGCAGTGCTCTTAGCTCCGAGTAATTGAAATGAGTAGGACTTCCCAGCTTTGTATTTAAAGCAACTCAAAAATGTAACCCCTGCGTTAATAGAAATGGAGAAAACCCACTTTATATTACCTTTAGGAGCAGGGACTACAGCTGTTGTGTTACAGCACAGACAGGTGGCTTTTGCTCTTCAGCAGCTTTACCAGCAGAGCCACCTGATGGGGTTTCTCCTCCCATCCCTTCTGCTCGTGTGCTGCTGAGCGCGGCCAAAGGAGCAGCCCTTGCTGTGGGGAGAACTAAGGGACAGCACTGAGAACGGAGGGAGGAACCATGCCCTGCAGCTGCTCCAGAGCGGATTCCCATCATATGTATGTCAGCTGTCGCTTTCGACATGTGTATAACATGAAAACTGGTAGTTAAGCTGTGCTCCTGTGGCTCTCATTGCTTGACCCAATGCAGACGTGATGGCAGGCTCGGTTCCGTTCACAGAGTTGGTGGCGGGGGCTTGGTTTTCCTTCATGTCACTTAATTGAAATCTTGCTGTGGTCTGTTTGTGACAGAGGTATATCATGCATGTCAGCAGGCCTAGTGCTGTGTTAAGTAAAGACTTGCAAATGTAAGTTCATGTCTGTGGCCTTGTTCTCTACTATTCACCTTGTGTAACATAAATATTTATTGTATATTTATATAATTTTATGTTTTTTGGAGGAAAAAAACAAACACTGAAATTGGCATTAAAATTTAAAAGCAACCGCGTCGTATTGTAAATATAATTAAGCTATATTTAAGTGTACTGATTAATATATGTTTAACTATAGAGTTTTTTATGTTTTTAAATATATTTTCAATATATATATATATATATAAAACTTGGGGTTTTTTGGGGGACCATGTGACTCTTTTCTCTAACTGTAAAACAAACTTGAGTTTTACTATAAAGATGTGTGTTCTTTGTTTTAAAACAATTTTTACTTTATTTTAGCAATAAAATCTCCCTTGGAGGGCAGATAGCCACCTGTTTCATAGCTGGACAGTTAGCATCGGGAGGGGAGTGCTGGCAAGGATTTGCTTTCCATAAAACATAAGGATGCTCACAAGTGATGTATTTCCATATATTTCTGGCCCGTAGGTCCTCATGAGACTAAAAACCCACGAATGACAAACAGAAATGATTTTATTCAGCTGTAAAACGATGACTGTAATGGAAGTGTGCTGGGGAGTCACTAACATTAATAGCAATGGGTATGTGAGGCCCAAGTCCCGCAGCTACAGGCCAGTCCTACGCTTGATTTTAAGTGGTGTCATGTATATTTATATCCACTGCACTGAGCTTATTTATGACCCCCACACAGTACTGAGAGTGGAATGGCTCAGATTTAACATAGCATTTCTAAAAGAATATGCTCTGCTGCAGCTGCCAAGCCTTTGTATATTTAATTATCCCGTAAGCCTAGAAAAATCAATAAATCTTTGTGATGAATAGAAAACCTCCATATAACGTAAAGAAGAAAAGAAAAGCAAAACAACTTCTCCTCAGAAATTTCCCAAGAGGTTGGTGCCAGTACCATCTCCACGAGAACCCAGCAGACAGCGCTTCTGCAGATTATCATTTCTATTAAACACACGGGCACGTGTGCTCCCTGCCTTATTGTTATCCTAGCAGAAACCGACAGGAGCCGTAATGAATAGGCAAACTGCTGCTGGCTGGGATGATGGGGCCGTGTCCCTGGACTCACCATCCCTGGAGGTGTTCAGATCTGTGGCACTGAGGGGTGGGTCAGGGTTGGGATCTCAGTGGTCTTTTCCAACCTTTGCGGTTGGATTCTGTGGTTCTATGCCATTGATGTGTCGTGCCTCACTGCGGGCCTTCCATGCTGCCAGCCTCTGCCCGAGACAGCAGTGGAGATGGGGGAATACACCGAGTTGTCTTGTTCTACATATATGGCACAGGTAACTAAAGAACAGATAGGCACCCCTAAACCTTTATTTCTACCCAGGAACAGTCTGGTGGGAAGCAAAGAGATAATTCCATAGCTGTTATCACTTGCAGCAAAACTCAAGGCTTTTAAATTACCCAGCCAGAGAAGAGTGGCAATCAGTTAACAGAATATCAAGGCAATATTCAAGTGCAGTGAGAAGGCAAGGATGTGTATTACAGCTTGTCCCAGGTGGATCCAATGCACTTTCACAGGCCGCCTCCCCTAATTAAGATACCTTCTGGCAGGGCAATTAAAGCAAGAAAAGGAAGGAATGCACTTATTTGGATGGAGTAGAAGCAGCACCAAGGACTCACCTAAGTTGGTAGAGTTGTCATGCAGGTTGGGGAAAAGTAAGAGACTTATCTATTTAATTTTAAACACTTGCTACCAAGTAGGGTAGCTAAAGACTGGGATTGACGTAAACCAATGGGGTTGAACTGAAAAATTTTGGGGTTGATTGGTGGGGCTTTTTTTTTTTTTTTTGGTGATAGGTGCACGGTTGGTTTGGATGATCTTAGAGGTCTTTTCCAGCCTTGGTGATTCTATGATAGTCTTCTGAACTAATCAGGCTCTGAG